CACACACTTCCATTCTCAAGGAAACCCAGTTGCGCTTTATGTCCAAGCTCAATACACCCATCTCAGTTCCACTGTACTTCAACAGGCAGGCACCTTCCAAGGAAGATCATGCCAATCAGAGAAGTTTATGTAGAAAACATCAGTCCTTAAAGTTATCTGGTCCCAAAATGTACAGGACCGTAATGCTCAAAATCAGCACTTTGAGTAGAAAAGACTGGGTGACAGTATAGCTCTTCTCAGAGGCATAAGATGTGATCCAATTTCTCATGATAAGTTTCTTAACCAGCCTGAAAGACAGCCCCCTTATAACATATTTCAAATACATGAAACTACTTTATGAAAAATTAGCCTATTTGTCTATCCAGCCTAGCATGATCTACTCTTCCTAGCAATGGCTCTCCAAAGTCTGGCAGAGATGTATTTCCTTTCAGCTGCACCTCTGGTTCTTTTGGAAGGAATGTGGGTGACTGAACCTGAGATTTTCCATGTTTATAATATATATTCAATTTATAAAATATGGTCCATCCTTTCTGAGTTTTTTTTCAATAATCTATTTCTGAGGTGAGTGGAGTACAGGTAGTTCTCATTTAGCAACCACAATTGGGACCGGCAACTTGGTCATTAAACAAAGTGGTTGCTCAATGAAACCACAACTGTACTTATGATCTTACTTCAGCTTTCATGTGCTTTACAGACCTGTGAGGGTTGTAAATGTGAGGACCCATTGCAAAGTTACTTTTTCATCACCATCATAATTGCGAACAGTCACTAAACAAGATAGTTGCTAAACGAGGACTACCTGTAGTACTGACTCTGATCAGACCATGTCTGTTCAGAAAAGGCTGCAAATAGTGTACAATTTTGTCTTACAAAAAGAAGTTGGTGGCACGGAGACCACCTGGCTTTCAAGAAGTAAGCTGGTCCTAAGTAGACCTGCAGCTAAGGAACCTGATCTTCAAAAGGAGCATATGTTTTTCTAAAATAAACTAAACACTGTCCCTGATATTTGAGCGATGCACACAAACAATGGAAAAAACTTCCATCAACTTCTATGGACTCTATAATTTGAAGATAACACTAACCCATGTTAGTGACATAATCCAAGGCATCTACACTATCATTTCCCTCTTCTCCTCCTGAGAGGGGATGCTAAGGGCAGAACTAATGTGCACTTTCTCAAATCTCATTCCTGCTTTAGCTGTCACACATACAGGCTTAATGTTGATCAAATGCCAATTCCACCAGGTCAGTTTTTGCTATTAGGATTTTGACTCTGATGTTATAACTAAATATTAGCACATAAACATATACAAGTGGATAAATCAAACAGAGCATATGAATATCCTGCTGGGTCAGACCAGAGGCATCTCTAGCCCAGTGTTCTACTCCCAACAGTACTCAACCGGATGCTTCTGAGATGCTCCAAAGCTTGGTATGAAGGCAAAAGCAATCATGGCTGTTAGCCTTTAATCAAACTCTCTGTCATCATAAATCTGCCTTATGTCCTTTGATCCCAGTTGGTAGCCATGTCCACAGCAGGTGGCAGTGCCTAGCCAACCATGACTGATCTCAAAAAACGAAGCAGGGTCAGTCCTGCTTAGTATGCGAATGGGAGACCACCAAGGAAATGCCAAGGATGTAGGCTAGACTGAGAAGTTGAAAGAACGCATCAGAAGAAGACAGCTTCCATATTGCTGCCAAGAAAACAACATACTGTAGATGTATCCTATAATCAGAGCTCAGCTCAGCTCCAGGGAGACTTGACTATAAATTGGTAACCATAAACCAGGGAAGCAAATTACCAGTGCACTGTGTTAAGAATTTTCATCTGAATCTCCCAACATTCAGCTTCATTTAATGACCCCACACTGTAACATTAAAAGGGAGAAAACCCCCAATTCATTTCCCCCAACCTGTGTTTATGGTTTTCTATATCACCAAACGCTTCTCTTGGTTAGTCTTTTTCTCCTAATCTAAAAAATACTGCATTTAAGCTTGCTTTAATTCCATCTATGGAATCCTTCTCTTACTCTTCATTTCCTTTCCAACAGATCTTTCCCTGAGCTGGTCACGTCTTACGCTGGTTGCCTCTTTCTCCCCTCTTCGTTTTTCTCAATTCCCGAAGTTCTTTCTTCATATGCTTTATGGCTTGCAAAATATTGCTCTGCTGTGGATCATCTACAGCTTTCTCCAGGTAAAGGCGGAAGTGTTTGATGGTTTCTAAGAGTAGCATTTCTGGATCTTCCCTTGCCGGGTGAAGATGCAGCACCCTCTCGCAGGCAATGGCGTAATTTTTGTGCCAGTTCACTGGATGAGTTTTATACGTGTTTACAATTTCTTTGTACAGCTGTAAATCAGAGGAGACAATTCAGGATTGAAGAAAAATCCCAGATATATCATCCTCCTGTATGACAAATACTTGCTCACTTTTTAAAGTCAAGCATGACATAAACAGTCAAGTATGGCATCAACAGCATCTATAAAATAAAGTCTTGGCAACTGAGGAAAAATAGGACACCATTTATGAGCATATGTTATAAACCATGAAATGCAAGCCTCTGCATTTCTATTCAGAAATAAGCCCCACTAAGTACTTCCCAATCAGTGTGTACAGGATTTTAGCTAATGTGCAGCTGATGATTGGGTAAGCTGCTCTGATGTCATAAAACTGAAAAGAGGAATAAAGATGTACAATTCTCAAGGGGAAACTCAAGAATAATAATCCCAAGGATAAATCTGAAAGGTAAACTGGAAGAGAGAAGTAAGAGAAAGAAACTAGAGAGCAAAAGGGTGGGGAATAAGAGAAAATGAGCTGAAGATACATGTTTTATTTCTAGTGGAACCACTTTGCATATGAAAACAGCAAAAGAAAAGAACTGAACTTGGGGTATTTCTCTAAACTGTATCAACTTTATTGTTAGGCCACCATTATTCAAATCTGGGAGTGTGGAAAGAAGATGCACACGTCCTTGACTTGCTACTGATACATAAGCAACCAACACCCTTCCTTTGTCACATGCACACAATTAGACCTGCAAGCAGCAAAGCAGGGGGAGATATAGAAAATTGGCTGTAATATTATTCATTAGCCCCATGAAACAGGCACTTTGGCTATGGAAAACGCTCTGTCTTTGCTCACTGGAAATGTCTTACTGCTTCTGCTTGGTTCTACAAGTCATGGATGAGAACTTGGTCCTACTCTTGTAGAGGAACCTCAAGTGCTGCTCTGTAGGCACTTAAGTGGGCTTTCAAAGTTGCCATCCCACTCCTATGTTAAGCTTCTCAGGTAAGCTTAGCTGTGACACCTGGCTTGCTACCACAAGACAGTGAAGAGGTCCCACAGTTCTGGGGCAAAGGGAACGAGAATGTCCCCAGTTATCTAGATCAGTGTTTCTCAACCTTGGCAACTTTAAGATGTGTGGACTTCAGCTCCTAGAATTCCCCAGCCAGTTGAAGTCCACACATCTTAAAGTTGCCAAGGTTGAGAAACACCAATCTAGAGGCAGCATTCAGGAGCAGTGAGGTACAAACAGCTGTCATGCCCTGTTTAGCAGGTGAGGTCAGGGAGGAAAAGATACCAACCCAGCACGATGCTTAGTGGCCAGACAGATGGAAACAGACCTTCTGGCTGTGCCTGTATTATTTCACCTAAGTTGCTCTGGTGACCATAACCAGCAGCAAGGTCAACACCGATCAACCCTATGAACACAGGGGTAGTACACACCACCACCACCCCAGGCGCATCCCTTAGTGCCCAAAAGACATTTTAAACAAAGTTTACTTTAGTAAAAAATAAAAAAATTAAATAAGAAGCTGGTCTGCTACAAAGCATTAGCCCCTAGCAACATAAGGACTTACAGGGATGTTTGAGGGCATGACAACTGGCCCACTCAGAGGATAGGAAGCATTCCAGGAGTCTAGTAAATGGGTGTCTTAAGACTGGACAAGCCTACCCCAACATCCATTTTGTGAACAGCCAAGTTTCCTACTGCAGCCATTTTGTGAGTGCACCCATTACACAGTGTAAAATTACAAATGATCCCTGTCCCCAAATTGTTGCTTATCCCTGTGCAAACAGATGGACAGGTTGAGCTTTTCTATCCCAAAGTGAAAAGTGCTTACCTTATAAGCAAATGTGTAAAGCTTTGCTTTCGCATCCCCAGATGTGGGAGCCGTTTCTGCAAGGTCAAAAAGAAAGAAGGCTGTTTTCATCCTAGGGAAAGAAAAAAAAACAACCAGAAGTGTGTTGTGTATTCTTTAAACACCAACTAGCATCCATGAAGGAGAAGGCGGGGTTCACTTCCCCATGGAATGATCCTATCCCAGTTCACTATATTGAACTGGCATTTACCGGGGATGACATTAGAAGTTGTACTCCAGGACATCTGGAGGGTGCCAGCTGCCTTAAACTATTAACTGCAAGGTGACATTTGGTTCCATTCCACTGCTGGACACCAGCTTTTGTTTCCTAGATTCTCACCACGCTTCCAGTGTTTTACTTGTGCAATCTGCAATGTAATTAATTTGTATGTAGAGACCTTTTCAGATACAGTATGGATGGGAAGGGGACAGGCTCTCACCTGGCTTGCCACATCTCTTCATTTGCTACCGACTCCCAGGAAGATGAATCAAACCTTAAAAAAGAACAGGTAAGTTGATGTGCAAGACTAGGCAGAAATCCCACAGGAGACAGAGCATGAAACAGAAGCACAGGAGAACTATACTTTTATAAGCTTTCCAGATACAGTTGGGGAAATGGGAATGAGTACCCCTTATCCAAACCCTCTCTAAATCCATACCCAACATACTTTTGATGCTACCACTGTATCTTCACCAATGACAAAACAGAAAAAATGCTAGGTGGTTTCACATTTGCACTCTTCCAACTCCATTCTATCAACCGTGTGTCACTTACTTCCCATATTCCTCAGTCCAGTTATAGAGGTTTCGGGTACGGTCAATCCACTCTTCAGGATCAAAGGGAGCTTTTGAAGACACAAGTTTATCACAAGAGCCCCAGGGCCAAAGGGAATAGTCTTTTTTCCAAGTAGGGTCGCCTTCATGGAGTCCAATACAAACAAAGGTGTCTTTGCTATTGCAAAGAAACAAACAAATTAATAATAAAAACAGGTAAGTGGACTTGAGCAAGTGGACTTGCTCTAAAAGCAACCAATGTGAAGAAAGCTAGGAGCAGTAGTTAGTTGGTTGATTTAATGTTGAATAGGTTCAGTTGTGTAACTGATTAGAGCAGTGTTTCTCAACCTTGGCAGCTTTAAGCTGTGTGGACTTCAACTCCCAGAATTCCCCAGCCAGCATGGGTGGCCTAATCTTGTGCCCAGTGCCTAATCTTGCCCAATCTTGTGCCCAGTGCAGCTGCTAGATACAGGATGAGAGTTTACTTCAAGACTTCATGGAAATACAGTGCTGGAAGAGGCCATTGAGGCTACTGAACCCAACCCTTTGCTCCAGGCAACAACCTAATAATCCTCTGCTTGAACATAACCAGTGATGAGAATACCCCATCTCTCTGATCAAACTGCTCTTGCTATTGGGAAAGCTTTTCTCCTAACAGTCAACTAGAATTTTCCTTCTATAACTTAAATCCACTATTCTGTCTGCAATGATAGAAAACAGTTCTTGGCCTTTTTCTGTGTGATCCTTCCACGCTCTCATATCAAGCGCCTCTCTTCCCAAGTCCCAGTCACAAGGCTAATCATTTCCAGCCCTATCACAGGACTTAAATTTTAGTTTCCTGCTCATCCTCACTGCCCTTCTCTGAATCTGTTCCAAGATAGCAACAGGTTAGGAACAGAGAACATTATCTTATTGTGGGTTGCCTGTTATTCCAACTAACCCTATTCTGTTCACACGGACTGCATTTCTCCCCAGCCTTCTTGAAGATCCATGGGATTAAAATCAGAACCTTCTCTGGACAAATATGGGCTCTTCCATGAAGCTTTAGCCTTTGTGAAAGGGTGGGAAATCTGGGCCCCTCCAGGCATTGCTCAGCTACAACTTCCAGCACTGCTCACTCTTGAACATACTGGCTGGGGTTGCTGAGAGGTGTAATTCAGTATTATCTGTCAGGACACTTTCTACTGTAATATCTAATACCACTAATATTATATAATTAATATTATTATGCAAAATCTTCCAAATGACTACAAAAGTTGCCCACAATTTTGTTATTTTTTAATATTCTGATTTAAATTAGTATACACCATATCCAGATTGTCCACATGTTATATAATTTTAAAAATACAGTAAAACATATAAAAATATTAATACTTTTTAAAAGACACAAATCAATGGCCATGAATAATGGAGCAAGGCTATTCTGTAATGTCTTCTGTCAAGGTGAACTCTTTTTGGCATTTTAAACAAGACTCAATTTTACAAAATTCCACCTCTATTTCACAGGCAAATAAAATACCCATCACCTGGCCCAAACTGAGTTAATGCCCTATAGGTTTTCTGGGCTGGCTCACAGATGAGGGAGGCCTAGTGGCCTTCACCTGCTGTAGCTTGGGAGTTACTCAGACTTGAGAACCTAAGATCTAACCAAACTGAAGTTAAGGGCTTGGGTGTGGGACCACCTCCCCACCTCTGGTCTCCAGGGGACTAAAATCCTGGTTCTGTCAGTGAAGAAAGCCTTGCTAGCTTTCCTCCATGGCATAGATTTTTCCATGGTTTAAATAATTCACACAGTTATTTATATTTTATGATAAGCATATTCACATTTCCTATTATGCACCTGGTGAGCAATGTCAGGTGTCTAATGTATCAGTACTGAAGTTATGCAGTGATGAACTAGGTCATCTACTGGGTGGGAGACAAGAATGGATGTTATCACAATTGCTTTAAGTTTCCATAGAAAATCAAGATAGCAATACCACTAATTAATAATGGCCCTCAATTAACTGCCAGCAACTGGCGCTCTAGGTACCCCATACAATTAGTACCCCACTCCAACAAAAAATATAGGCAACTTTCTCATTTGCTTATACAGACATGCCTGCCCGGCCAGTAGCTGCAGAAGTATACTTGATGACAGGGAAGCTGATCTTTTGCTACACAAGAACTGGCATGTTTTCTTAGACTGCATATGCCTTCTAGTTGATGGTGCAAAAATGAAGATTAAAATATTATATAATATTTTGGGGGGCGGGGAATTCTTTCGAGTCAGTCTTGACACCTGGCATCTGTCTGGAGAAGTCCACGCAGTTTTCTTGGCAACTTTTTTCGGAAATGGTTTGCCACTGCCTTCTTCCTAAGGCTGAAGAAAGAGTGATTGGCCCAAAGTCATCCAGCTGGTTTCATGTCTAATGCAGGATTAGAACTCAAGTTCTCCCAGTTTTTAGCCTGGTGCCTTAAACCGCTACACCGATCTGCCTCTCGTATAATGCATATAAAGAGTTGCAAAGAATGTAGTCAAAAAGAACAAGAGACAGTTAAGATTACTTTGTCTAGAACTGAATTTTATTTTTTTTTTACTTCTGGTCCAAGGTGTTTTCAAACACTTTTTTCCCAGATCCACAATTCAATTCAGTTTTTCTCTGTTTAACCTTTCTGATGGTCTCACTTTTACTGCCATATATTACAACTGGGAAAATTATGGCTTGACAATACTTAGTTTTGTTATCAGAATGATATTTGCATTTCTCTAGATCTGCCATAGTCTTTTTCCCAAGTAGCACACATCTCTTTATTACACAGCTGTTAGTTAGTTAATCTATATTTAATTGATTTATAGTTAATTATATATATCAAATTTGTCACTGCCCATCTCGTTGAACGACTCTGGGCAGTTTACAAAAC